CAACTCTAAGACCCAACTGACCCAGATATTCTACTATTTGGAATATACCCTCAGAAAATGAGAACAAATAGAGACTTGTACACCAACGTTCATTATTCACCATTGCAAGAACATGGAACAGCCCAAATGTCCAACCACAAATGAATAGATTGAGAAATTATGGTACATTCATTCACGCAAAGGAATACCACAGAGTACACAGGAGCAAAGATTTTGTAAATTATTACCTAATTTGGGAGAAATTGGAAAGCATTATGCTGAGCGAACTCACTCAGCCCCACAAGGACAAATATTGTATAAACCCATTATTTTAGAATGAGGATAAGGATCCAAGGGGGGAAGGGGGGAAGCAGAGGGATGAGGATGTGCAGGGGGAGAGGAGAATTAATCATGGGGTTGTAAAATTTGTTGGGTGGGAGGATGAGGGAAATTGAAAGAATCTGTTCTGAAAAATAATGTATTCAATTTTGTAAATAAACTAGTATAATAATGATTAAAAATGATGCTGACCTTAAAACAATTTTTAAGAGTAGGTATCACAATCAAATAACTTCCTAATTTATCATGAATTATATTTGCATGATTTGTCTGGTACCTGAGTAAAATTTCTGACCTCAACTTCTAAGATTTACTCTCTATTATTTTAAGACATTTAGGCTCTAATACATTTTCATAGTTAATTGTTACAGGCTCCTGAATGGTAATTTACTCACCTGGGAGAGCTCTTAAGTTTTAAGGAACTAATTTCTGACAATTCACTCTCATATGTTAATTTCAAAGTTCGGATAATCTATAATTAAAAAAGTAAAGTGTGTAAATTCATGTAAATTTTTCATTGTCATACATACTACTGAAACAGTACAGTTTTAGAAGGTACACTATAACCTTTTATGTGTATCTCTAATATGTTTAAGTCTTGATTTTTAGGTACTTAAAATAATGCAAGCAAGTGTTTAGTATTTTTTTTCCATAAAAGCATTTACAGTCTTTTGGAGGTATGAGTATATAGATTAACATCAACAACAGAAAAAGATAGTAGGTAATGACTATACAACTACACAATCAGATAAAAGAATCATTCCATTAATTTTCTATTTGCCTATCTTCAATCATTCTCTTCTTACATCTTGTATTCCTAAATCAATTTTTCTCAGGTAAAGACCAAATGTTACTACATTTTTTACCTTCTAGTGCCTAGAGGGAGCTCTGGTGGTCTAGTGGTTAAGAAGCTGCACCGCAATTCAAAAGGGGTGCAGTTTGAATCCATCAGGTGCTCTGCAGAAGGAAGAACAGTCTCCTCCTGTGCCATTTACTGCCTCTGAAAACTCCCTTGAGGGTCTGCTATGGGTCAGTTGTGACTCGACAGTACCCAATAAAAAGTTCCTTACATGTAATACATAAGAAATAACCATAACTATTTTTAGAAATAGGAGGTCTGGCCAAACGTGATGGTAGTAAACTCTTGTTTGACTTAAACTTATGAACTTTGGAGTCAGGTAAACCAATGATTTCTATTATTTTTTACTTCATGTCAGTTAAAACATTTGATTATCAATGGGAAACAAAAGTAATACAGAATTCAAAAGGACTCAAAAGTCAGTGTATCAGTGTCCATACTCTCAAGGAGGAAAACTGAAATGAGCAAAAGATCATCTATGGCCAACCCTGTTTTGTTTTACTGGGTAAGGAGTTGTGCAGCCAATCCAAAGGCAAGCAGTTTGAATCCACCAGCAGTTCAAAAGGAAAAAGAAATTCTCCTCTCATCTGATTTACAGTCTCTAAAATCCTGGTAGGTCAGCTGAGAGTCAGTTCCAACTCATGGCAATGAACATTATTCCCTAAGCAAATACTGAGATGGTAGAAGACAGCTCAAATACTGTGTTTTGATCTGTAAATTTGGTAGTGGTGAAGAAATGGAATCTACAATTCCATTTTTAAATCTGGTGTTGACTGCCATTATTTAAAAGGTTTCATAGATGAAAACAAAGTCCCATTTAGCTTACAGATTCTCTTGTTTCACCTGGTGTCATAGAAGTATCTTTTGACTCAATGTTATCCTATTTGTTCTCAGATCATATAGCGTAAAGATTTTATTGCGTAATTTCCATAAATGTGAAATAAAAAAGGCTAAACATATTTATTCTTTTTCTTAAAATTTAAAACACCTTCCAAATGAATGCTATTAACAAGATAATCTGAAGACTGAGTTAAGTCTTATGTGCAAAGCATTGAAATGAACGATTTCAGAAGTGATTCGATTACCTGGTTCAGGTCACAATAGTTCCTAAGAGAAGGTGCCGATTTTAACTCTCTTGCTATCTTCATGGCTGCATCTAAATCCCTTTTTTTCTCTTCAATGTAGTCTTTAGCCATTATTACTTCTGACAAATAATCTTCTGTAGTTCGTACTAGTTCTTCACACAAGTGCTTTTTCCTTTATTCAAAACCCCAAAATTATTTGTCAGGATTTTATGAACATTTATGTCAAAGTAAATTTGTAGCAACTAAAAAGTATATCAGAAAACAACCAGCCTACTGACTTAAATAACACATAACATAGTGAAATGAAGAGAAGTATATTATAGCTGAACTCTGTGTATGCATAAATAAATCTCACAAAAGGATAAAAATATGTCACAAATATAGCTGACATAGTTACAGAGGGAAAGAGACAATATGCCATTCCAAGCAAAGAAAGCGTGTTTGTTTACTCATACTCTTACACAGATATCTATATTCACTTCTTGTAAGGATCAGATCCTTTTACATGAATTTTAAAATTTCCAACACCACACAAGTACCATAAAAATGAGATTTTAAAGTTGATGTTGCTGTGTACTGTTGAGTAGATGATGATGCACAGTCATGTTATGAACAACTCTGAACCTTGCCCTATCCTGTGCCAACCTGACTGACTATCTGACACACATGATCCCATTTGCCACAGTCTGTGTCAATCCATTGCATCCCAGGTCTTCCTCTTCTGCGCTGACTCCTCCACCCTTCTAAGCATGATGCCCTTTTCTAAGGACTGATCCTTCCTGGCAACATGCCCAAAGTATGTGAAATGGAGTTTCAAAATCCTAGCCTCCAAGGAGCTTTTACTCGTTCTGACTTGCTTGCTCTCTTTGGAAGTCCGTATGTTCAATATTCTTTTTCAGCACCACAACTCAAAGGCATAAATTCCTATCATTGTCCAGTTCTCAGACACACAGCAAGCAACTCAAACACCATGGCTTGGATCAGGCAAACCTTAGTCTCTTGACTGACATCAATGCTCTTCAGCCATCTGGAGGAGTCCTTGACACATTTTACCAAGGCAACCATCATCATGGAACTTACATTTCAATTAATTATAAATCTTCAAACTAATCATTTAGTAAGGTTAGTTTTGGAAAAAGATATTGAACTTGGAATGGTTGTAAGTCTGAGAAAGAAAGAAGATTCTCAACAAGATAGACTGACACAGTGACTGTAACAATGGGCTCAAGTAAATGAGAGATGATGAGGATGGCACAGAACTGGGCCAAGTATAAATTCGTTGTTCACATGTTCACTATGAATCATAGTTGACTAAATCGAACCTAACAACAATATATGGTCATTACTTCATTACTTCCACCTCACAGTCAAAACCTTTCAGTTATCTATGGTGTTATTTCCTCATCATGGAAACACGTGGTGCTGACTGTGGTTCCTAACTTACTCATTTCATTCATGAAACTTGGCAGTAAATGGCTTAACATATCATTAAACTAAATCCACACTTAAAAAAAGAGATTGTGCCAACAATGAAGAGTAACAGGAGTGAGAGCCAGGCTCTGAGGGTTACAAGGTTAAATTACAAGGTTAACTCTGAAGGTTAAATTCTTGTAGTGCTTATATTTATGTTGTTGCTGTTATGTGCTGTCAAGTTGGAACTGATTTACAGCTGACCCTCCAGGCTTTCAAAGGCTGTAAATGGCACGAGGGAAGATTACTCATTTTTCTCCCAGAGCACAGCTGGTGGATTTGAATTGCATGCCTTTGGGTTGGAAGCACAACTCTTGACCTGGAAGCTACCAGATCTCCTAACTATCATTTTTTAAGTTTCTTTAGCAGAAAAGAGGTAATGTCAGTAAGTTCTACTATGGGTCCAAAAAATTAATGTATATGACATTTCTCTAAAATACTCTAATTATAGAACATGTAATTAAACATGTAAGATAACATCAGCAAAGAACAAAGGCTATCAACAAATTTCTGCAAACTGCATGGATTCTATGTTTTAGTTTGGTTTTTTTAAAAAAAAACAACAACACACCACACTGATCTGAGAGCTAAATGGACAAATACCATTCATTTTTATATAAATGTCCATATTACTGAATACATTACTTGAAGTCTATCACAATTTTTAAATCTGTTTCTTGAAATGTAGAGTATGTATATACTTTGTCTTCCTCATGTGATTAATTTACTAAGATCATATCTATATGAAAAAAGATTTTTAAAAGTCAAGAATATTACCTGTTAAGTGATGAGTATTAGGAAGCTTTCTGCTCCAATGCAAATGAACACATCAAAGAATGATGAAACCAAGTGTTTAACGAAAGTGTTGAACTGGAAAGTGTTGTTTTATATACATTTTTCTAATAGTAAAAAATAATAAATTGGAAAAAATGCCACAAAAACCAAAAGTATGTTTGCATTTTTGAAAGTGTGTTCAGTTCTACAAAAATTACTTCAATTTTGAGAGTATTTTCTATGCTGATTGTTAAATAAGAGGTTTAACAGCACTGAGACTAGATGGAGAATAGCTAAATTTTTTTTAAAAACTGTATTAATTATTCTTAATTTTAATGTTATTAAGTCCATAAGTAGGGACTATTAACTACCTTCAACGCCATTCAAAATGTAGCAGCACTCAGTACACTTCAATCTCGTTAAAAGAATAACGTGATAGGTCAATGCTAAAACTTTAGTCTGAGTCTATATTTTTAAATTATTACCTTGAATCAAGGGAAGTGAAAAGTTGATCAAATTGTTTCTCAAGAATCTCTGTAATATTGTCTGTCTTCTCTTTTGTTTGAGTCTGCATATGTTCAAGCTTCTAGAAAAACACAATATAAATACCTAATTTTGTATCTGCATTTTGTAGAGGTTGAACTGTTCAATATAATTTTTACAATAAAAGATAAGTTTTAGACTTCTCTAAATAACAACACAAGAGGAAATGAAAGAGAGAAGAGGTAATTAAATAAAGTTACAAGATTCACCTTTAAATCCTGGCATTTTTTAAAAACATAATTATATCAGTCAAGAGTTTTCTCAAAATAAGTTTAAATATTCAAGACAAACAACAGTGATTATATCTTCATATTTAAAATAAACACAAGAGTTCCACCAGATGCTCTGCTGGAGAAGGAGGGGCAATCTCCTCCTGTGCCTGTTGGATCCGATTCGATGGTACAGAACAAGAAAAATAAAAATAAACTAAAACAAAAATTTAAAATAAACATAAGAGTATTAAAGACGTTTCCTAATAACACGTCATACTTTATCAACTTAGTTCCTAGCAGAAGGTAAAATATCACTACGGGTTTTCCAGTACAAGCTCTCCACCCATCTAACAAGAGAAGTCTAAAGCTACTGGCAATGATGCTCACTGGAGACATGACAGTGCAGCGAGCACTGGCCAAGAGAACTTGCTGAGATGACAGCAATGTCCTCTGTGTGGCCAGCAAGACATCTGCAAGCTATGTGCAGCCACAGTGTACTGGAAATGTGGCCAATGCAAATACGGAAGTCTCCAGTCTTAAAATTTTCATGTCCACGTCAAGACACTTGTGGCTAGTGGTTACTGTGCTACTGCATATGTATTACACACAGGTCTTCTGCTCACCTGATTCAGCCATTCTCAAAGCCGACATTGTTTTTTTCTCATCTGTATACCACTGACTTGCTTTTCTCAAGTGGAGCTGATATTTTTTTTTATCACTGATTCCTATCATACCCCTCCTCTGTGTTTTTCTTCTTTAGTGACTTTGATCGGGTTACTTTTATAAAATTTCTCAAGAACTAACATTTTACAGTTAGACATTTAAAAATGTTCTGGTTCTAATTACAAAAATGAGAGGCCATGGCATAATCAGCTCTATAATCTTTCCAACTCCCTAACTGTAGATCTGTTCCTGCTGGGCACTTTGGAAGGGCTTATTTGTCATCAAGGCAGCAGCTATTTGTGGGAGGAGAAGGGTGAGTGGGGTGGGAGGGTATGGTGAAAAGAAGAGAGCAAGAATTTATAGGAAAAAAAGTGACAGGATAATCTATAATGCTTTTGAACATTTTCACAGCAACCAGAAATTATGATTTTTAACAGAATTCAAATTCATCAGGTTTCTAGTCCAATGCTGCAAGACTGATCCTGGCAGGCCACAGGAAATGCTCTCATTCTTTATATGCTTCTCTTTCTCTAAAGGATCAAACTAAGTTTTAGCAACTCAATATTAATGACAGTCTCAGTGATAACATACCCAAAAGTACATATTCAAACAGAATTCATACTCAAAAGTTTTGAAATGCTTACTTTTACAGCAATACTCAATTGTTCAATATTATAGCCTGCAATCTTCAATGCTTCATCAATTTCATCTGTAGTTTTTGTCTCCTAAGAAGAGGAGGAAAACACATAGGAAAATAAAAGTAGGTGCGTCGGTATATATGGTAGCTACAAAAATGACTAGCTATCATTTTCACCATAAAACCAACACACAGACTCTCAAAAGGAAACTGAAAACAAGAAAAAAGAAAACAACACTCTTGCTTGTCCCAAAGATAACAGCTATTATCACTTCAGGATTTGGTGCCAGCATTCTCAATACTTTGTGAAGATAGCTGTGTAAAAATGGAGTTACATCCTGCAACCATGTCTGTTTAAAATGACCTTAAACAATACACCAAGGTAACCTATCAAATGGGGAAATGATAACCTCTCCAACAAACGGTGCTGGCTAAACTGGAACGCTACCTGCTGAAAGCTGAAACAGGATCGGCATCTCACAATGTACACAAAAATCAACTCAAGGGGGATAAGAGACCTGGAGTAAAGCCTAAAATCATCAAGGTCATAAAGAGAGAAACTGGGATCAAGCTTAGAAGAGCTAGTCCAAGGTATAAAGAGACTGCCAAATACAGCCAGAAGTGCACAATCTAAAGATGGTCAAACTGATGAACAGGACCTTCTAGAAATGAAATCCCTGTGGGCACCAAAAACGTTTTCCAAGAGAGTGAAAAGAAAACCTATTGACTGGGGAAAAAGCATTTGGCAATACAATCTCAGACAAGGGACTCATATCAAAAGTTTACAGAATCCTACAGGGTCTCCAGATAATATATATATTGATATATATATATAGAATATATATAATAATATATATATTCTGAAAAGGTATAGAGGAGAATGGAGGCACAAACGGAGATTTGTACACCAATATTCATAGCAGCATTATTCACCATCACAAGAACATGAAAACAGTCCTAATGTCCAACCACAAATGAATGGATTGAGAAATTATGGTACATTCACACAATGGAATACTATGCACACACCGGAGCAACGATTTTGTCAATTATTACCTAACTTGGGAGGGACTGGGGAGCATTATGCTGAATGAACTAACTCAGTCTCACCAGAATAAATATTGTATAAAACCTTTATTGTAGAAGTAGTATAAAAATGCAAGAAGGGTGGGAGAAGCTGGAAGCAGAGGGATGTGAATGTGCAGGGGGAGGGGGGATTAATCATTGGGTTGTACAATTTGAAGGTGGAGGGGTTAGGGAAATTTAATTTGTTCGAATTTGTATTTGAATTTTGTAAATAAACTAGTAGAAAATTTTAAAAAATAAAAAGAAAAGGTATGGAGATAGGACACATCCCTCACATACACCCGGCTCAATTTTGAACCATGCAGTGTTTTCTTGCTCTGTTCTGACGACTGCCCAAGTATAGATCTCACATGAGTATGATCAAGTAGTCTGGGATTCCCATTCTTCTCAGAGTCAGCCACAGTTTGTTGTGATCCACACAGTCAGACGCTTTTGCATAGTCAATGAAACACAGAAAGACATTCCTTTGGTAATTCCTGCTTTCAGCTAAGATCCATCTAACATCAGTCATACTATTCCTTCTACCATGGGCTCTTCTAAATCTAGCCTGCACTTTTGGCAGTTCTCTGTTGATGCCAGTCGTTTTTGGATAATTTTCAGCAGAATCTTGCCTGCAAGTGAAATTAATGATATTGTCTGACAATTTCCGCACTCTCAGATCACTTTTGTTTGGAATGAGAAGAAACAGGGACCTACCTATTCCAGTCAGCTGGTGAGGTGGTTGTCCTCTTGATTTTTTACCACAACCTTGCTTGCTGAAACCAAGGAGAACCTGAAGGGCTTGCTACAGATCAAGGACTGCAGCCTTAACTATGGATTGAAGCTCAACTTCAAGAAAATAAAGATTCTCACAAGTGGACTGATTGGATCATGATGGATGACGAAGAGACTGAGATTGTTAACAGCTTCAGTTTATTAAACAACACTCTTGGTACCAGTTGTTAGGACATCAAAAGACAAATTGCACTGGGAAAGTCTGCTGTCAGAGACCTCTCTAGAGTACTGAATAGCAACTATGTCAGTCTGGAAACTGAGGTGTGCCTGTTATAGTAACAGTCTTCGCAATTACTCAGAAAGCTGGACAATGAAAAGGGATGACAGAAAAAGAATTGATGTCTTTGAGCTGTAGTGCTAGAGAAAAGTATTGAATATACCATGGACTGCTAGTAGAACAAAGAGGTTTGTCCTAGAGAGGGTGAAACCAGGCTGCTCCTGGTAGGCAAGGATTCTGAGGCTTCATCTGACATACTTTAAGCATGTTGCAAGAGGGATCAGTCCTTGGAAAGGGACATCATGTTTGGAACTGTGGAGGAACAGCACAAGAGAGGAAGACCTTGGATAAGATGTATTGATTTAGTGACTAGGGTAACAAGGGTAGGTGTGTCAGAGACAGTGAGATTGGCACAGGACAGAGAAGGGTTAAGGGCTACTGTACATAATAGGGTTGCTATGAGTCGCAGGTGACTCGACAGCACCTAACAACAACAGGGCCTCCACAAGAAAAAGGTTAATAACCCAATTACAAAATGGACAAAAGACATGGAAAGAATTTTCAGAGGAAGATACATGAAGAAATGCTCAAAACCACTGGCAATAAGAGAAATGCAAATCAAAACCACAATGAAATACCACCTCACTCCAGTAGCAGTGGCAAGTTAAAGACGACAGCAAATAATAAATGTTGGAGAGGATGTGGCAAGATAGGTACTCTTATACACTGTTGGTATAATTGTAAAATAGTACAACCAATTTGGTGTTTCCTCTGAAAGCTGAACAAAGAAATTCCATATGACCCAGCTATTCCACCAGTTGGAATATACCCTGAGAAAATGAGAACTGATGCACAAATGAAGACTTGTACATCACTGTTCAAAGCAGCACAATTCACCATCACAAACACATGGAAACAAACCAGATGTCCAACCAATCAAATGGATTGAGAAATTATGATATATTCACACGACAGAGTACTATGCAGAACGCACAAGTAATGATTTTGTAAATAACTACCTAACTTGGGAGGGACTGGAGAGCATATTATGCTAAGTGAAATAACTCAGTCCCATAAGGACAAATACTGTGTAAGACCTTTCTTTTAGAAGGTATATGAGGACCTAAGGGTTGTGGGGGAGAACAAAGGGGTGAGGATGGACAGGGCGTGATGTGTTAATCAAAAGGTCACACAATTTGACGAGGGGGTTGGTAAAGGAAAGGAGAAAGATCCAGTGTGAAAAACAATGTATATTAACTTTGTATAACACAGTATATAATAAACATTTTATTTATTAAAAACCATCAACTACAAAAACAAAACACCAAGGTAAAAAAAAAGTACTTGTATACATTCAAGAATCATTAACAGTTATTAAGGAAAATATCAAAATCTTAAATGTAGACAAGTACTTTTATTACCAATAATTCTAATATTAAAAGATAGTAAAATAAAACTTGTCACTAATGACAACTTCACAAAAGACTTTAACAACGTCATTCGACAGTATTTTGGACTTTGTTGAAATTCTAATCCTAAATAAAAAGTATAAAGTTATGCACAGAAAAAAAAAGAGGTTATCTAGATTACTTATCTACACCATAGTTTAATTTTCCATCACCATCAAAAAACCGTGTTGATATCTATTAAAATAACTGGAAAATAGTACTTAGAAACATGTACTTCATTTGCATGTGTTTCTAAAATTTGAATTTACTAACTAGATTCAAAGAGAACAAATTACACAGAAGCAAACTGCTTCCTACCAGTCAATGTACTGATGATTATGAAACATTTCTATTTGACACACATGCAATCAATTCAGAGAAAAAAAAACTCCAAAATCAACAGCTGAGAAGAAAAGAATTGCTGAAACACAGGTTAGACTAAAACAAGAGACTCAAGTAACAAGAATTAATTTACCACTATTAGCTTTAAGCTTCCAAGCGAATCAACATTACAGAAATCACATAGAAAAAGTTAAGCTAACAAAAGCAAAGTAAAAATGTTAAGCTTCCTCTTATTTCATCCACAATATTTTCATACCGCCACTAAAGCTGATGGATTCAGAGCCGTCTTGCGTAGTGAGGCTGAATTTTGTAAGCCAACAGATAGCAAATCAGCAGTCTTTTTCAAATCCTGATAACAATTCTTTGTCCTGTAAAATGTCAAGTACATTATTTTAGTACTAAAGGCCTTAATAAGGGGGGAGGGTTGGTAGGGGAGAAAAGGGCAACAATGAATGAATTGAAAACCAAATTCTCTGTGAATTTTCATTGACATGAGTAATAAATTTAAAGAAAGGGGGGAAAAGCTTTAATAATATTTTTAAAATATTCTATTACGGCAATTATATGCTATGCATTGCAGAGTTGAACAGTGAATAGGGATGATAGAAAGAGAAATGATGCCTTTGAGCTGTGGTGCTGGAGAAGAGTGTTGAATATACTATGGACTGCTAGGAGAACAAACAAGTTTGTCCTGGAGAGGGTGAAGCCAGAATGCTCCTTGGAGTCAAGGATTCTGAAGCATCGTCTGACGTACTTTGGGGATGTTGCAAGGAGAGACTGGTCCTTGGAGAGAGACATCATGTTTGGCAGAGTGGAGGGGTGGTGAAGGAGAGGAAGACCCTTGACGAGATGGATTGATTCTTTGAGTGGAATGGTGGGAATGAGTGTGTTTGAGATGGTGAGGTTGGCACAGGATAGAACGGCATTTAGAGCTCTTGTACACAGGGTCACTCTGAGTCATAAGCGACTTGATGGCACATAACAACAACAACAATTGTGGCATCATGATTGGAGGAAGACTCATCAACAACTTGCATTATACAGTTAATACAACCCTGCCTGCTGAAACTGAGGAGGACCTGAAGCCTCTGCTGCAGAACGTCAAGGACTGTAGCCTTCAATATGGACTGAAGAGCAACATCAATAAAACTAAGATTCTCACCACTGGGCCAAATGACAGCATTATGATAAGACGGTGAAGAGACTGAGATTGTTGACAGCTTCAGTTTGCTTGGCACCACAATCAACACTCTCGGTACCAGCAACTAGGAAATAAAATGGTGAACTGTATGAAAGTTGGCTGTCAGGGATCTCTCCAAATTACTGAAGAGCAATGACATCAGTCTGGAGACTAAGGTGCTCCTGATCCAGTCCATAGTCTTTCCAATTTCTTGCTATGCATCAGAGAGCTGGACAATGAGTAGGGAGGATAGAAAGAGAATTGGAGCAAAGAATTCTGAGGCTTCATCTGACACACTTTGGGCATGTTGCAAGAAGGGACCAGTCCTTGTGGAGGGATATCATACTTAAATGGGTGGAGGGACAGAGAAAGGAAGACCATCGATAAGATGGACTGATTCAGTGACTGGGGTAATGAGGACAGGTATGTCAGAGACAGTAAAGTTAGGCAAGGTCAGAGCACATTTCAGGGGTGTTGTACAGAGGGTCGCTACGGATAACAAGTGATCTGATGGCATATAACATCAGCAGCAACATTTTTCTTTTTACTGTCCATCAAAAATAGGATGGACAATATGATGATGTAAAAGAACATATATAACAGGTTTTTCAATTACCTAGGATTATTGAAGAAAGAGGCAAATCATGAATAAATGTACTTTCACTGAAACTTTAACTTCATGGAGAAAATAGATGGCATCCTGATGACACACTGTGCTCAATTTCTTTACAACAGAGACTAGAAAAATAAATTGGAACACATACAGATACAGTAACTCTCCCAATCAAAGGAGAAAATACAGAACTGGAAAAACCAACCAGCAGAAATAAAGAGTGAAAACAGTGACCGAGGAGAGGCAGGAGAGCCTGGCACTGCATCTGCCATCCTGAGAAAGCAAAAACACACAGAGAGGCAAGGAGAAGACACCCCCACAGGAGCCCCTGAAACACAGGCAAGGTGCAGCCAGATCGGAACCAAGGGGAGCGGAGTATGAATTACACGGTGAGACATCTCCGTGACTCAGAGCAAACAAAGAGACAAGCAGAAACAGCTAGAACAGAACATTAACTATTCAATTGGGGTGGTGTGTAGAGAACTTCTCCTTAATGCAGTCTGAGCAGGAAGGGGCAATTTAACCGTGTTAATGTGCACTGAGTCCTTGGTATTCACCTGTGGCGAGAGAAGGGCTCTCTCCCTCTACTGTTCCCTACTACGTCTTCCAGGTGACTAGGGACAAGCACTAGGAACAGTCCCCTTGTCATGTCACATGCACCCAGTTTGCCTGGAGCCCCAAGCACCATCCCACTCACCCCCTCCTGCAGTCCAGCTCTGAGCCACAACCTGAAAACATGCACTCAAGAGGCCGGAGTCACTGGCAGACCAATTCCTCACAGGCCTCAGACAGCAGCTTCTCCGTCAGAGGTGCAAGTGTACTCATACGTCCTGACAGGATCCTCCTCCATCTGTGTGACCACACACGTGTGAAACCTGCAGTACTCTGCTGTGGTACAAAGCATGGGGCCACAAGTGCAGAGTCACTCCCCTACTTTCTCTTAAAATGTTCATTACGATTTGTTTTCTTCCTGTGTTTTCTATCTTCTGTGTCTTCTTCCCATTTGTCTCTCTCTATTTATTCCTTTTCTCCTTTTCGATCGTTTTATTTTCACCCATTTTTCTTCTCTCTTCTTCCCCTGGTGTCTTTTGCCTCTTCCAAGTTCTGGTGGCTTAGTGGTAAGGAGTTATGCTGCCAAGCCCAAGGCACATGGTTTGAATTTCCAACCTGTTACATGGGAGAAAGATGGGCAATCTCCTTCCACATGATTAACTACTTCTGAAAACCTACTAGAGGGTCAGCTGTGAGTCAGTTCTGATCCAGCGGGAGGCAGGCAGTGTTCTCTCACTAATTAGCCACAACACCATACCTGTAACACCTACTCATACCACTCCACCCAACAGGTGATATCACCACGTACACTGGATCAAAGGAGAAGGTGGTAAACACTTGCTTAACCCACCCACAGCTACTCTTCACAACTAGCCAATAGAGACCATGCTCACACACCACCCACTGGGAGTCAGGTAGGTATAGAGTTCCAGTGATAATAAATGTACAACTAAAGAGACACATGCCTAGCCTGTCCTCCTAGATGTAACAAAATAAAAAATCATAAACCAAAACATGTTGTTGTTGTTGTCATGTGTCATAGAGTTGTGACTCATAACAACCCTAAGTACAAAAGCCCTGAAACCTGCTCTATCCTGTGCCAATCTTATTGTCTCTAACACACCTACCCTCATTACCCCAGTCACTGAATCAATCCGTCTCATCGAGAGTCCTTCCTCTCTTATGCTGTCCCTGTACCCTTCCAAGCATGACGTCCCTCTACGAGGACTGGTTCCTCCCTGCAAAATGCCCAAAGTATGGCAGAAGAAATGTCAGAATCCTTGCCTCCAAGAAGTAGCCTGGTTTCACACTCTCTAGGATGAACCGGTTTGTTCTCCTGGCAGTGCATGGTATATTCAATACTCTTCTTCAGCAACACAGCTCAAAGGCATCAATTTTCCTTCTATCATTCCTACTCACTGTCTAGCTCTCTGATGCATAGCAAGCAACTGCAAAGACTATGGCCTGTACAGGCACAGTCTCCAGATTGATATCATTGCTCTTCAGTACTCTGGAGAGGTCCCTGATGGCAGATTTTTCCAATGCAATTAGTCTTCTGATTTCCTGGCTGCTGGTACCAAGAGTGCTGATTATGGCACCACGCAAACTAAAGCTGTTAACAATCTCAGTCTCTTTACTGTCTATCGTGATGCAGCCAATGGGCACAGTGGTAAGGATCTTTGTTTTCTTTTCCTTTTAAAGAATCTTTGTTTTCTTGATGTTGAACTTCAATCTACATTAAAGGCTGCAGTCATTAGTCTTCTGCAGCAAGCACTTTATGTCCTCCTTGGTTACAGCAAGAAAGATTGTGCCACGTGCATAATGAAGGTTGTTGATAAGTCTTCCTCCAATCCTGATGCCACATTCCTCCTCACAGACCTCAGTCTCCTGGATGATACTAAAAAATAAAACAGTAGGAATCAGGTTGAAGTCTCTCTCAGGGAGGAGTGATAGGAAATGGCAAAGGACACACCGACAAAGGAGATTA